GTACCTCTGTGTGTGTGTGTGTGTGTAGGGGGGTATCACACTTGGCTGCTAACTGGAAGGTGGGAGTCCACCCTGGGGACTAGCGGAAGAAAGGCCTGGAGCCCCAGTGCACCCTGGGGAGCACAGAATGAGCTGGTGGTGGTGCTGAGAGCTAACTGGCCTGAGCACCCCATAGCCGGGGGCCTGGGGCCGGTGCTGGGTGCCCTGCAGCTGGCTTCCACTCACAGTGGCCCTGTGGGATACAGCGGAGGGCCCCCCGTGGGGTTCCTGGGTTGTCACCCAGAGGTAGCAGAGGGCCAGCACTCCCTCCCAAGGAGGAGGGCTCTAGGGCTCCTCACTGCCCACCTTTCCAGTTCACCGAGGCGTGCTCAACTGCTGCGCCTCCAGGGAGGGCCGCTTGGACTCCCCAGTTCTCTGTTCTGCAGATGAGAGTATAGCCCTCAGAAAGCTCAGCAATCCCTCCAAAACCCCAACTCTGACTCCTAGTGACCCTACAGGACAGAGCAGAACTGCCCCTGTGGGTTTCCCAGACTGTAACAACAACAGAAACCCAGCAGAGCCAAATCAGCAGAGTGAAAGAAGTGAAGCGTGAGACCTTACAACGGAGCCCAAATCAAAGGGCGACTAAGGAAAAGGTGTCCCGTTGTCCACCGGGTGGTTATGAGTCAGAACAGAAGGGGCTTCACCAGATAACAGCAAGGAAAACTCGGCTCCCAACACATTTGAAAGACTGGATGAACGGACCCATTTCTAGAAACACACGGCCCCTACACGAACAGCAACCCAACCCAAACCACTGCCTTGCAGTCTCTCGAGCCAAGCAAGAGGCCTAAAAACCGCAGCGGTGACTGCACACAGTAAGCACCCCGCGCGGTGCATGTGTCAAGTCCCAGGAAAGCTGTCAAACAGACATACAGAGCCCTCTTTTGGAAGCAGGGGAACACGATGTTTGCTTGGGGTTCTGCAGTGCGATGGGCATCAGTCACCCTGCTCTTGGACCGGAGGAAGACAGAGATCAACATTCACCCTGCTCTGCACCCTGGAGGTACAGTGGTCATGAATTGGGCTACTAAGAAACCCGCATTGGGGGGAGGGCGTGTTTTAACCTGTCCTACTGGTTGGCTAAGAGTTAGAATCCACTCGATGGCAATGTGTTTGTTTTTATTGTTGTTCTTTGTTTGTTTGCTTGTTGTCTTCCTTCGGCAGACAGCCAGAGAGACAGGCTGGTGGTTTCGCTGCCTCTGTGTGGGGCTCGGCACAGTGCGGCCTGCTGCCTGCTTGCCTGGCCACAGAAGCCACTCCTTGGCCTAATTAGCACCATCTGGCCACCGCTGAGCTGGCCCATCGATCGGTGGGCAGTGGTCCCCGGCTGTGTTTCTACAAGGGGCCCAGAGCAGAGGTGGGAACGAGAGTCAGATCTCAGAGGAGGTAAGGGAAAACAGGCCTCTGCTTACTGGTTGGTTGCTTGTCGGGCTGCGGTCCTCAGGGTTAGCTGTTTGAAACCATTAGCTACTCTGTAGGAGAAAGAAGGGACTTTCTACTCCTGCTAAGAGTTAGTCTCACACTCACAGGGGAAGCTCTACCCTGTCCAGTAGAGTGACTAAGAGGGGGCATCGACTCAATGGCAGGGCGAGCCCTGAAGGAAAGCTCACCTGTCCGCCCCAGGCAGGGCTAATGGTCAATGCTCTTGGCTGCTGACCACCCAGGTTTGAGCCCACCCAGGGGCACCTCGGATGAAAAGTTTCCTTTGGAGCCATCAGCCCCATGGGGCCCAGTTCCACTCTGACAAACGTGGGGTCACCACGAATTGGAATCAACTCAGTGGCAATCCTTTGTCCAGAAGCATGTCAGCTTCTAGAAAGATCTATCTACTTGGAAGCAAGAACTTCATATCACCAATAGCGGGGGGTGGGGGGCAGTGGTCCTGCCTTTCAGTGGCAGCCCAAACTCATGGCCATCCATACAGAGCGACCCTATGTGGGGGTTTCCAAGGCTGTCAATCTTCATGGGAGCAGGCAGCCTCATCTTTCTCCTGGGGAGTGGCTGGTGGGTTTGAACTGCTGACATTGTGGTCAGCAGCCTGATGCCTAGCTAAAGCGCCATTAGTGGCAAAGCCATGGAAAAATCTTCCGAGGGCAGCTGGGCCCTGGTAGGTGGGTGGTATAGATCTGTCTGCCTGCTGTAGAACCTGAGAGAGCAGTTCCCTCGCTCCTAGCCTGCCGGCTCGGGCGGGGCTGGATCTTGTGCCTGCTCCCTTTGCTTCAGGAAGGGCTCTTCTTTCAGGCTGAGCCAGCCCCTGGTTCTGGAGAGTTCTAGCAAGCACCAGCCACAGGCATGCGCTCATAGACAATTAGGGGGTGCTGCGGCAGGATGTGGTGTTCAGGTCACAGCTCCGGGCTTTTCGGCCGCCCGAGAATAGGCTCAATCGATGGCAAACCAGCTCATTGATTTCTCTGGCCCGCTCCCCTCTGCAGCTCCACAGCACGGAGAGCTATTAAAAGGGCAAAGACCTGGGGAGTGGGCAAAGAGAAGAAAGGCCCCCCTAGCCAAGGAGTCCGCTCCCACCTCTGGTTTCATCCACTGTGATGGGGCCGATTCTGACTCATGGTGGCCCCCTGGGGCAGGGCTGAACAGCCCGTGAGGTGAAGGCAGCGGCCGGCCTCCTCCAGCTGAGTGGTTAACCACTGTGCCACCAGCACGCCTTCCAAAACCAAGAAACTCCCCGCCCCCAAACCTGTTGCTGTCGGGTCTATTCTGACTCCTCGCGGCCCTCCAGGTTTCCAAGGCTGTAAATCGTTAGGGACGCAGGCTGCCAAGCCTTTCTCCCTCGGAGCAGCTGGTGGGTTGAAATGCTCACCTTCTGGTGAGCGGCTCAGAGCTTTTCCTGTTTCACTGCACGCACATGCACTCGCGGACACACGCACATCCCCAAACTCCCTGCCACGGAGTTTCATAGCATAGCGACCCTAGAGGGCAGGGTAGAACCGCCCCTGTGGGTTTTCTGGAAGCAGAAAGAGTCCTCTTTCTCCCGAGGAGCGCCTCGAAGTTCCAAACTGCTGACCTTGAAGCCGGTAGTCTAACTACACGCTATCACTATGCCACCAGGGCTCCTTACACCTGGCACATGAGCCCTGCTCCCTCTGACCTCCCACAGGTCAAACCCAGAACACACCACGTTAAACAACTGTGGTTCTTGTGTAGCGATGCTTGCAAAAACACACCGATGAAGATCAGACTGCGGCCTTCAGGATGGATGACAATTCAATGTCAGGCGACCCAAATCTGCACAAATGGACTAACAGGTAGACTCAGGGACAAGCGGGGCCGGAAGTCATGAGCTCCTCTTAGCTCTGCGATCCAGGTGGGTGACTCGCTCCCTTTGACCCTGTCTTATCACCTGTGCAAAAGCAACCAACAGCCCCCGTTTGGATAACCATTCTGTCCTCTGGGTCGCAGGTGTCGGGACTGACTCCATGGCAGTGGGTGGGGTTTGGCTGACAGATGTTGAATTCCTGGCCACGCACCTGTGGACAGGATCCTGCCTGGAAACAGGGTTGTCCTCCTGCTATGCCAGTTGGGTGGCTCCCAGGACGGACCACTCCAGGGTGACGAAAAGAGCAGGAGACACTCAGAGAGAAGCCGGATTCCACGAAGAGACCATTCTGAGCCGGCTGCTGACAAGGGAAGGCTTGGCCCCGTTTGCTGAAACCGAGACCGGCCTGGGATTTTAGCCTCCTGGATTGTCAGTAAAACCAGTGCCTTTATACCCCCTGGGACCCCTGGTGGCGCAGCAGACTATGCTCTGGGTTGCCAACTGCAAGGTCAGCAGTTCAAACCCACCAGCTGTTCAAGGGGTGAAAGATGAGGCTTTCTACTCCTGTGATGCGTTAAAGTCTCAGAAACCCACAGGGGCAATTCTACCCTATCCTATGGACTCGCTATGAGACGGAATCGAATTGACGGCAATGATTGGGGAGGATGCAATGAGGAACGGAGGTGTCTGGACAAAGGAAGGGGTCCACAAGAGCGCGCTCAGTCCCACCCCACATACCTAAACACCCACCTACACAGACACCTGACGATGCCTTCCTGAGACCATGCGACTGGTTAGAATGCACTCTAGGGCAGTGGTTCTCAACCTTTCTCATGCCGTTGCCCTTTCATCCAGTTCCTCATGTGGTGGCGACCATAACATTATTCTCATTGCTACTTCATCACTGTCATTTTGCTACTGTTATGAATCGGGCGACCCCTGTGAAAGGGTCATTCGAGCCCTAAAGGGGTTGCGACCCACAGGTTGAGAACCGCTGCTCTAGAGGCATACAGGGTAGCGGTGGGTGGCTCAGTGCTGGAATCTTACCCCCTTCCATGCAGGGTACCTGGGTTCGATACCCAGCCAGTGCACCTCACGTGCAGCTACGGCTACCGCCTGCCTGCATGTGGTTAGGAGGCTTAACAGGTTTCAGCTTCCTGACCGGGACAGTGACAGTGAAGAAAGTCCTGGAGACCAATGTGTGAAGACCAGTCGGAGGAAGCTCTGTGGATCACAGAGGAGCCACCTGCAGCCAGGCTAGCAGATGGTATCAGTCCTGGGAAGAGTGACTTGTAGTTAACTGCTGGTGGTGGGGCTGTATGTTACATAGCCCACCCCCCCAAAGCCAAAAGTCACTTACACACTAGGGTTTAGTGCAGAAGCTGAAAACCCTGGAAAGGTCTACACGATGGGGTCCATTCACACCACAGAACTCAGCTTGGCCAGGACGAGTGGGAGAGGGAGTTCTGCTGGGTGGCGGTGGGGTGGGGAGGGAGGGGAGGCAGTCGTTCAAACTCACCAGTAGCCCAGTGAGAGCAAGAAGAGGCTGTCGGCTCCCGTAACGATCAGTTTCCAACACCCTGTCCCATAGGCTCACTATGAGTCAGAATTGACTCGATGGTGGTGGGTAAGGTACACCGTGAGTCAGGTTGACCTGCCTGCCTGCCTGCCTGCGGGCTATGGGAATGCACTGACGCACTTCCTTGGGGAACCTCTGAGACTCCCCTCAGTGGCAACTGGAGGGCAGAGTCTACAGGTAGCTCACATGGTTAAGCACTGCTCACCTACCAGAGGCTCCTCAAAGGAGGCCTGGCAATCTGCCATCAGGTTATGGCCAGGGAATCCAGGTGGAGCACCGTGGGTTAGTTTCCCGGATCCGAATGAAAGCTGGCAGGAAGGCCGGGCGTGCATCTGGGGCTTTAAGTTAGAGGGCGTGTTAAGGGTGGATTGGGGCTGTAGGTTACCTCTGGGGACGTGGGGTGCCACACCGAGCGGTGTGAAGTTCCAAACCCCAGCAACGACAAGGGAAGAGCCACCTGTGAGTGCTTGGGAGTTGGGCCCAGATGGAATCTTGGGGGTTGCCCTCCATGACAGCTTGAGGGGTCA